AACTGTCACCACTAGAAACTGGGAGAGAGGCATGGGGCAGGCTCTCTCTCAGAGGCCCTAGCAAGCAACAACCTTGTGGACTTTTGGCTTCCAGAAGGGTGAAAGAGTACGGTTCTCTTGTCTTAAGGAAGCTGTGTAGGACTTGTGACACATTCCTAGAAATCAAATACTCTGCCCTTCAAGTGAGTGAGAAAACAAGCATTCACCTGGGTTGCTGAGGTTCTCATCACAGAATTGTCCATAAAATTCCTGTTGTCCCTGGTCCTCCCAGGACTGTCCACTAGGCTGGAGTTTCTTGGATAGCGCGTCTTAATCCATTGTTGGTTAGCAAAACAAATGTAGCACTTGGTCTACGTCCATGCTTCCCAGAATATGCCCAGTTGCATCTGATCTCAGACATGTAGGTCTTCATTTCTTAAAAAAAAAAATGAGATACACAGTTGTAGTTTTAAAAGGCCACGGTGGTGATGGAGGTCACAGTGCAACACACACTGTGCATTGGTTTGCACTAATATGTTTGTGACATTTTCTACATACTTGGAAACACAGTCAATAAAGGCTTTAAAAACCTTAAAGGAGAGGTTATGTCATTGTTTCTTTGCAACAAATATGTAGCAGTAGTCCCACTTTTGCAAATCACAATTATAGCTCGGAGCCTGCGCAGCTTGTCTGAGATGGGGGTTAGAGGTGACTGTCTGCGCATGCGCCTGGTCCTAACCTGCCAGGCTACAACCAGCCCCTCGAGGCAAATCAAAAAGCCATGCAGACATCTGGTTACTGGTAGGTGGGGTAGCGGGGCACCATGCTCTGTTCTTGTCTCTCTCCCCCTAATGCTGATGGATATACCATCCGATGGCCAAAGTGGTTGGACAGCCTGCTACCCATCACCCTGGAACCAGGACATCAGTCCTTTAGGACACTAATCAAAGAACACAGTTTTATCTAAGAGTCTAGTGATGAAAGAAGCTCCATGGGAGTTGAACAGCTGGCTGGTTCAGGGGGTGTCATGGTTTATGTTTGTGTCCCCCAGGCCTCATGAGTTTGCATTGTTCATATGTGATGGTTCATTGTATAGTGGTTGGATTGATGGTGTCAGTGCTCCACCCACATAGGGGTGGAGCCAGGATGTGATGTAATGGCAGGAAGAAGGTGTGTTTCTCTTTTTGCTGGTTCGAGTTGGCTGCTGGCGGCTGCCATGAACTGCAGCCCAGCCATGCCTGCCTGTCTTGGAGACATCTGAGTGTGGACTTAAACCTCCAAAAACTGTAAGAAATAAACCTTTCCTTTCCCAACTTTGGGCTTCAGGTATTTTGTCTCAGCACGAGCACAAAGTGACTAAGACAGGGGGTATAGCTCATGGTTACCCCCCTTGAACTTCCAGCTTTAGTATCAGTTGAGTTTTGCAGTGGGTCACAAGCATGTAGCAAAGAGCATTTGCATTTTTAAGGGAGTCTCAGGGAGTGAGCACAGCCACTCTAACAGCCAGCATCGGTGGGATTTCAGGTTTCATGTCTCCTTAAAGCTACCAAGAATGGCCTATCAGCCTACATCAAAACAGGTGTATTTTTAAAAACTAAACAAAATCCTACCAAATTCCACATAGTACAAATGCCCATATGTAGTTGTAGGTGCATCAGGAGGTAGGAAGTCTGGAATAGAGGACCCACATGTACAGTTAGGAATGCACACCCAAAAGCCTGGAAGCTTAAGACCTGCTAGGTTCAACCTCGCCACAGCCACAGCTATTTATGTGTGTTTGTTCCTCCTACTTCACATTAGCCCCAGGATAACATCTAGACGTAAATGGGAATACAAAAGTAATGCCCATATAACTGGTGTCTTCAGCAGGTCAGATAGAACAGGAAGCCATTTAAATGGTCATAGTTGGGTTGCGTCAGGTCCCCTCTGGTCAAAGAAGTCAGCCCCCTGCACCAAAGAGAGTTAAAGCTGCTATCAGTTTCCTAATTTGGGAGTCCATAGGCTCACATTTAAGGTATGCTCTGGTTCAAGACTTGCAAAATTCCAATCAGGCCAAGTGATTTCTCCCCAGGATTAATAGGCTTTTGAGTTTCATCTCTCCGTGCCTACCAAGCCAGATGGGGTTCAGGTGGGTATAGCTGGCAGGGTGGGGTGCTCCTAGAAGTGCCACCCAAGCCAGCACTATTGTGCATAATCCCTCTGAGCTGTTCTGCTGGAACCTTCTCCCAGAAGAAGCTGGTTTAAGAATCATGGTTGTCATTGCTGACTTGCTGTGGGTGGTTTTGCAATGCTATTCTGCACTGACCTTTTTTTAGACACCCGAAATGCTGCCCAGGAGATGCCCTCATACTGCACTTTAACAACTATGAAGTATGTTCACGTGTGTTCTCATGTCACATGTCATGTTATATATTCAATTAATAAGTATCATCTCAGTGTCACCTCATGAAATGTATACAGATGATGGTCTGGGGCATAGTCCTCTCATATCAGGGAACCTGATGTCACCCCGTCTACCTCGTGTCAAGTCCCAGCTTCCTGCCTCCATGAAGCATCCAGGCTCTACACTGAGCGTCCAGGTCTTCTTCAAACTCAAATGCAGGTGGGAGGCCCTGGGAGGTGATTAAGTCATGAAGGCCAAAATTGTCCAAGTGCCATTAGTGCCCCTACAAATCAGTCTCCAGTGCATCACTTTTCTCCTGCCATTCTGAGAGGACCATGAGAAGAAGGCAGCACCTCTGTACCAGCAAGCAGCCCTCACCGGACACAAGCCCGCTGGCCCTTGGGTCCTGGACTTCAGTCTCCAGAACTATATGAAATAAACTCCTGCTGTTTGTAAGCTGTGCTGTCCAGAGCCCAGCTGGACTAAGACAGTCACAGGGAATCACTCTGTATTGGGCTTGTCAGGCCTGGAGCCTTCTAGAAATGTAGGCTATCCTCATTTATGTCTTGCTTCTTCTTTTCAGCATATTATTTTGAGATTTCTTCATATTATTACGTGTATTTTTTTGGGCTGCTTTTACTGCTGAATGGGCTTTCTAAGTGTTTTCAGAATCTATTTACCATGTGATGGACATATCAATTGTTTCTTGTTTGTGGTTGTAATGAATAAAATTGATATGAACATTCAGTGCAGGCGTTTTTGTGTGTGGACATGTGTTTTTGATTTGTCGCGATATAATACCCAGGGATGGAAGATATATAAGAAGCTGCCAAACAGTTTTCTAAGGTAATTCTATCCTTGTAAGCCATTGCTGCCAGGCATGAATGAAAGTTCCTGTTGCTCCTTTCTCACCAATATTTAGCATTTAGGACATTTAAATTACAGCCATTATTGTGCATGAATTATATTATGTGGCTACAGTGTGATTTGCATTTCTCTGATGACTAGAGATGTTAAACAGTTTTCCATGTGTTTATTGATCGTATGTATACTTTCCTTTGTGAAGTATCTTTTCAAGTCTTTTTTTTTTTTTTTTTTTTTTGATAGTGGGAATTGAACTCAGGACCTTGCCAGGCAGACAATGCACCTCTGAGCCATATCCCTGGCCCCTTTACTTTTTTTTTAAAGCTCTTTAAAAATATTTCATCATAGGAATTCTTTATTCTGGAAATGGTAAATTTGCCGGATGTATGGTTTGGGAATATTTTCTCCAGTATATGTTGTTAGGAGCAGAAGTTTGTACTCACCCCACAGTCATGACAGTCTTCCATGTTTTATTCTAACATTTTATGATTTTACCATTTATATTTCTATATGTAATTCACTTTTAATTAGTTTTGGGGAGGCAGGGAATCCATGTTCATTTCCCCCCATATGAGTGTCAATTGCTTTCCTTATTGAATTACTTTTGTCTCTGTTGTTACTAAAAATCAATGTCTGCCTATTTTCATCTATATCTGATTATATTGTTTCATTTGTCTCTTTACTGATTTGCATGAAAATATTATACCATATTGATTCTGTAGTTTTATAGAAACTCTTGGAATCAGATAACATATACTCTCTAATTTGAGTTTTTAAAAATTGTTGTGGATACTGTGGGTCCTTGGTATTTACCTGTGAATTACAGAATTCATTCACCAGTTTCTACCAGAAAAAGCCTGCTGGATTAGGGACAATTTATATCTCAACAATTATGAGTCTTGCAGTCCATGAATATATTATCCCACCACTTACTGAGGTTCCACTACTTCAGAGTAATGTTTCGAAGATTTTAATGTAGAAGTCTTGTGCTTCTGATAAGTTGAAGCCAAAGTATTTTTTGTCTTTTTAGTGGTACTGGGGATTGAACTCACGACTGCCTGCTTGCAAGGCAGGCGCATACGCCGCTGAGCTAAATCCCCAGCCCCCAAAGCCAAAGTATTTTTATTTCTTATGCAAGTGCTAATGGACTTAGCTTTCCTAAAGTTCATTTTCCAATAGTAATACAAAAATACAATATTTTTAATATACTGGCTTAATATTCTGTAATCTCACTAAATTCACTTACCAAAATAGCTTTTATATGTGTATTTCCTGTATGCACAATCATGCTGTCCGTAAATAGACTTTAAATTTAACTTTTTTTAAATTCCATGTATTATCTGACATATCTCATCTGATACAATTTTAAACAGATGTGGAGAGAGCAAGAACTTTTAATTGTACCCAATCTTAGGGGGAAAGCAAGTGGCTTTTAATTGTTGAGTGGAGTTTTCCCACAGATGAATTTTATCCAGTTAAGACAGTTCCTTTCTATTTCTAGGTTTCTAAAAAGTTATTTTTTAAAAAAATCATGAATGGTTGCTGAATATCATCAGACGCTTTTTCTGCAGGTATTATGGTTTAATGTCTCCCAAAAACCCATGCATTGGGCAGAAGGGCATTTGGAAGGTGATTGGGTCACAGGTGCACTACACCCACCAGAGGATTCATTCAAAGACGAGTTCAGAGTTCAAAGAAGGGCGTGTCTGGTTGGAAGTGGATACCTGGGGGCGTGGCCTCCCTTTCTGACTCCTCCCTTCTCTCTGCTTCCTAGTGGCTAGGATGTGAGCAGCTTCCCTCCGCCAGACCCTTCTGCCATGCCCTTCCTGCCTTGGAACCAGCTGAGGATGGAGTGAAAACAGGAGCCAGAACAAACCTTTCCTCTTTTCAGCTGAGGGTGTTGGGTATTGTGTCTCAGTGATGAGGAAAATGACCAAGACTCCATGTCTTTAATGGCTATTTGATTTTCCCAGTTTTATTGCTCATGTGATAAATCACATTCTTGATTAAAACTAATCTTGAAGTTTTGGTGGCCATTCTATACCGTTACTTTATATATCATTAAATTTCATTTACTAACACTTTCTAAAGGATTTTTTTAGTGTAATTGTGAGGTTTGGTATCCAGGTAGGTTGTATTTCTGCTATTATTTGCTGAGTTATTTCTGTAAAATCTTATTTACACCCATTAATAAGGTATCATTTTGTCTTTAAGTGCTCAATATAATTCAGCAGTGAAGCCATGTAGGTACAGCGTTTTCTTTGGGGGAATATTTTAGTTACAAGTTTAGTTTCTTTAGGAAATAAAGGTAAATTCAGATTTTTTTGTTTCTTTTTAGTTCAGTTTGATAGTTGTCATTCAATGAATTTATTCATTTTGTATAAGATATTGAATTTGATATAAAATTTCCATAATATTCCCTTGTTACATTTTTAATGTCTATAAGGTTTGTATTGATGGCTCTTGTTAGATTCCTGAAACTGAAAATTTCTGTCACTTTCTCTCTTCTTTTCATATAATTGTTTAATACTATAATTCCCTATAAGCATTTGTTTAGCTACATGGCACAAATATTAATTTTATTATTATTAATTAAAATTAAAAGCATTCCTTATTAATTAAAATTCCTTATTAATTAAAATTAAAAGCATTTCCTTAGATTTTTTGTTCAAAAAATTTTGAAATACATAACATCACTTCCATATATTTGAGAATTTTTTGATTTTTGTATTAATCTTGCATTTAATAGCATTAATGTTTGAGACAATGTTCTTCATGATTATAATACCTTAAAATCTATTGAGACATTTCAAATAGCTCATTATAACATCTATTTTGTTGAATGTTCCTTGTGATCCTGAAATAAATGTGTATGGGTTAGATTTTCTGTTCTATATGTAATAGTTATGTTGGTTGACATCACTATTCAAATGTTCTTTTTAAAAATTCTGCTGATCACTTAGAGAAGAGTATAAACATATCTAACTATGATAATAGATTTGTCTATTTCTATTTAATAGTTATGTTCATTTTTTTCAAAATATATTTTAATGTTCTTTCATTAACAGCATACACAAATAGATTTTTGCATCCTGATGACTTGACTCTGTTATCATTAGGAACTATCCCTCTATGCCTGAGAATATTCTTTGAAGTTTACCTTGACATATAAATAAAAGCTTCCCTATGATTGCTGATTGCACAATACATCTTTCTCCTTTTGTTTTCACCTCCTCTGTGCTTGTAAGTGTCCAGAAAGTAGCATATGATCAAATCTTTCCTACTTTTTAATTGAAATGCTGAGCCAGTTTTGCTATTTCTATTTGCTTTGTACTCACCACATCTATTCTTTTCTTTTCTACGTTCTTCCTTTTAAATTGAACAATGTTTAGCATTCCATTTTATCTCCTTTTGTGACATTAGGTTTTCAGTCTTGCTTGAGAGATCCATTATATATATCAACTTATCTCATCACCATCTACCTTTAGCAAATATTATACTTCACACACAAAGAAGTAAGGAGGGCTGGGTCTAGGGCCTGAGGTTGGATCACCTTCTCACCTGTGGCTGGCTTTGAAAGAGTTCCTTCACAGCCCCATCCTCACTTCCTTATCTACAAAAAGGGTCAGGGCCTCCACCTTTTGGGGTTGGGGCACCTGAGTTCCCCACTCAGGCCTGCATGGCTGTGTCAGCTGGGAGTTGGAGACCCGCAATCCAGCCTGCCCTCTCTGCAGGTACCCTGGCAAGCTGTTTGGCTTATTAAAGCATTATGAGGTAATGGCCCTTTTGATGAGTCCCAGGTGTTATTAAAAATCTCTGAATCACTCTGCAGATCTATAAATACCTTTCCTTCCTGTAGCTGTGTTATTTCCCCCCAACACACAAAAATTATAACTCAGCACACACAAAATTGTAACTCAGGTGAAGTTGTGAATGACCACACCTTGTCTTCCATTCTGTATCAGGGAAGCCTTAGGGAAGTGAGCAGGGTAGTGCTGGAGATCACAGTTTTAGGAGGTGCAATGGGGGACAGGGTCCCCTGCAGAAGTGACTCAGCCCAGAGGAGCAGACTGGCTGCCAGGCACTGAGGGTCATCGCCAGCCCTCAGCCTCAAACCAGGCTGGGCTTCAGTCTTGTCACAAACTGGTTTTCCAACCAGGGAAGCATTTTTTATTGTAGGGTTTAGCATTTTCCCTGTATCCTTTTTTTACCTATCCACAAAACCCACGGCCATCCTCAGACCATCATTTCCGTCACACCCCAGGTCTCTTTTTTGAGCAACCTCTGTGGTGTGTGTGTGTGTGTGTGTGTGCGCGCGTGCCTTTAGCAGAAATTTGATCCTTTGCACACTTCTGATTACCTGGCAGCATTTTGCACATATCACGAGGGATCTTCATCGGGAAATCTATCTCCAGTTCTGTTTTATTCGTGCTCATTAATTTAACAGAATAATGAGCTTCAGTGCGGCACCTGCGCACAGGCAGTCTATGATGACCAGAAATGCAGTTAGGAAGGGAAACACCACAGTTTCTGACAAGAAAAGAAACAAGCAAATCTGGGATTCATCTTCTGCAGCCAGCTCGTGACTTCTCTTGGAGTCACTCCCGTTTCATAGAGAGAACTGCGGACTATCCCTGAAGCCAGGAAGAGAAGTAATGAAGTCACCTTCCCGAGGAAGGCTTTACACACACAGGTCTGGAGATGGACAGAAAAGCCTTTGGGTTTGGTGCTGTCCTTACCAGCTGTGAGCAGAAGCGAGAGCATTAGCCTCTCGGGCCCTCTACGTTCTTAGGTCCAGGTGGGACTGGGAACTGTTGTCTGCCAGGGTGACAGAGCTTCCTCTGCAAGGGAGGGGGCATGGGGCTGACCTGGAAGTGATTATTATGGTAATTACTGTCACCAGCAAGAGGTTTGCCCTGTGGAAGTCTGGGCGAGGTCTGTGTAGTAGAGAGGGTTTGAAGACATAGCTCTTTCACTCTTTTGGATGCTGTGAAAGCTCAGTGTCTCCCTGAATTGACAGTTGAGGCAAGGAATGGCACTGTTCCTTGGAACCATCTAACAGGCTCCCAGCATCCCTTGCTCCCTGCAAATCTGGTCCCAGGAGCCCTGAGGCTCTGTCACCTGGGCAACTTCTCTGCATTTGTCTTCAGGATTGGAAACCCTAGGAGGCCTCTGTGTGTCTTTGATGTCTTCTTTTCCCACACTGAAGCAGCCATTGGTCCTGTCACTTCTCCCCAGTCTCATCCCCTGGGTCTCAGAACTGCTACCCTGTTAACCCCTGGCCTGCTTTCAAGCCCTTCCCAGACCAGAATCCCTCCCCATCTGGTTAGTGAGTCCACTGACCAGACCCCTTGGTCACCTGCCCTGTACTCACCCTCAGTCCGGGCCTTTCTTCACCTGACAGAGTGCAGTTTCTAAACATGCTGGGCTCATCTTCAGCCTTCTTTGCACCTGCAATTGCCAGCACTGCCCCTCAAGTCTGGTCATTTGGGGAGACCTTCTGATAAGGGGAGGTGCTGATATATGTCCCCCCAAATCAAATGAAAAACCAACCTGCAGCAGCGAGGTAGAGTAGAAGGATGGCCCTGGGGCCCTCGGTAGGACTGTGGTCACCTACAACCTGCTGCCCCACACCTCTCCCGCACTGGCTGTGGCTGATGATTCTTCTGTGACAGTGATTTATCTGTCATCGCAAGGATGATGCACTGGTCTGTATGTATTCCAGGATCCCATAGACCCCAGGCTTTGACTTCCCATTATCCACCCCCTGTACTCTGGGCTTCTATCAATTGTACACACTTTTTTAAAGAGTCAACTGGAATTTTCCTTAAATTTTTGCCATTGACGTAGGTGACATTAAACTCCACCTTCTTTGACCTTAAAGTCTGCACCACCCCCACCCCCATCATGCTTAACTGTTACTCACTTAGTGAGAATTCATCTGTACTGCCATCTAGTTGGTTTTTTTTTTATGTTTTATTGAGTCGTGGTTTTGTTATGAAGTGCAGGCTGGCCTTGAACTCACTGTTGCTCAGGCTGGCCTCGAATTTGTAGCAATCCTCCTACCTCAGCCTCCTGAGGGCTGGGATTAGAGGCATGCACCATTGCCATCTAGATTTTAAACACCTTAGGTCATCGTGGTTCCACTACATTTCCCAGGATAGTGCTGGACATTGGTGCTCAGTAAATAACTGATAAATTGATAGGTGACTGGCTCTTTACTTGGATGATTGAAGCTACTCTTTGTCTTTGCTGACTTGCTTTGTAAGCTCCTTCATGGATTACTGAGATACTTGTATTCCCACAAAGCAGAAAACACAGTTCAAAGCTTTTGTGGATTCAAAATATTGCATTTGAAATTGAGGTTTCATTAACTGAAGTTGGCCAGTTCTGTTACAGAGAGAGAGAGAGAGAGAGAGAGAGATTTGAATAAAAGAAAAATATGAAACTAGGAACAAGAGTAAATTAGCTTATGACCCTGCATTAAAAATTCAGCAAAGTGGCTATGAATGACGGTCTGATTTTGTGCTATGAGTGAGGAAGGCTGGGTAAAGCTTGTTTCCAAGAAATGGATGCTTGGCATGGAAGGCAGCAAATGAAATCGATGAAGATTCCCTCCAGCTGCCCCCTCTGCCAGCTCCTGCTCTGCAGACAGCATCCAGCACAGTTTATCTAAAAGACCTGCTGGCTGCATGGGGTAAGTTGTTCTACCTGTGCATTTAAGTTATTGGGAATTTCAATATACTCAAAATACTTGCCTGGTTTTGCTGAGTTAACTGATTCTTAGAGAGTGAAGTTTTGCAGATTCCTATTCTGTTTTCTGGGGTAAGGGTCATTTTGTTCTGCTTTTGCATGTCTTAAGTCTCACCGCATGATTGCTCTCTTGGATTCAGATTTTGGTTTTACACTGGAGTTGGGGGAGGAAGCCACCATGCTTCCCAGATACACCACGTGCCAGCACTTTATGTCACAGTCATCTTTGATGTTTCCAGCAGCCCTGTGAGGTCCATCAAATTGTCCTTATTTCATGGTTGTGAAAACAGCAACTCCGAGAGGTTGTACAAGTGCATTGTACAACAGGGATTAATACCAACACCAGAAACTTGTTAATTCTGTGCTCACAGCCCAACTCCAACTGGCTAAGCTAGAAAGTGCCTTATTGATTTCTAGAACTGAGAGGTACAGATGGATTCAGATGCAGCACGGTCTAGGGACTAAATAACTGTCCTTGGGATTCAGACCTGGTGTGTCCTGGTCT